TTTCAATCTTATCAATTGTGAAGAAATTTAAGATAGTGAATTCTAAACAAGCATGGAATGTAAACAATAAATATGACTCAAAGATTAATAGGTAAAGTTGATGAATTCTATGATTGAAACCTTTTGCTATGCTAAAGTAATCAAAAATATTTCATAATCATTTTAGAATGCTCAAATTCTATATTTGGATGCTATCAATGCGTGGAATCGTTAAATGACTAGATAAGTTTCTTAAAATGTAAAAGTTGTTTCGGAGGAATGCTATTGATACAAAGTAGAAATAGTTTGGAGTAAAGGACGTTTTGTACGTTTGATTGCTAAAATACTCATTAATCTATGATAAAAGATTCGATAGAGGGAAAATGTTTATGTGAGTAAATAGAAAATATTAATATTTTAGGGTGTGGGATTGGTTGCTAATCTTGCAATGTCAAAACAGGTTGTGAGTTATGCCAAGGTCAGTCCTAAAACTGAGGATGGGTTGTATCTTAATTCTCTGAGTATTAAAGCTTTCAAAACTAAAACATAAAAGTTTGTCAAAGTAGTTTAATAGGCTTTATAAAAATAACGATTTTTAGACTGTTAAACTGATTACTAATGCAATAGCTGTAATGAAAATGATATGAGTTAATGCACTGATTGTAGTTATCCTGTCAACTAAAAATCATAACTCATTGGAGATTAGTCGAATCCTTGCAGTAAAATACTATTTTTCATAAATATCTTAGGCCCCTAACAAGTTTCAGATTTTAGCCAGGATATTTTTTGTCTCATATTTGACTACTAGAATTAATATAATTGTATTAAATGTAAAGATGGATACTATATTTTAAAAAATGGGTTTTATAATGTCACTGCTTTAAGGTTTTAAGATATCTGCTCTGTTTGTAAGTATTCGAAAAATTCAGTATTAATTAGAATATTCATTTAAGACTTATTAAATAAAATTCTTTAGAAAGTTAAGGATAGATTTGTCTTGAAGCTGATTCTTATGAGAACTGTTTGATTTGCTCATACGGTTATGGCATATACACTGATTAAAATGGAAACTAAAAATGTCAAAGTAAATATGCATGTTTTAATATGTTTAGAATGTTAATTTAACTTTTAAAATCAAAGTTTACTAGCATTACCAATTAGATGCAATTTTACATTAGATTCATAGACTAATCTTCCTGTTTAAGTTTAGATTATTGCGTGTGAAGATGGATATGTTGATGAAGCAACTAGTAAATGTACCGCAAATTGTGGAATCGGAAAATATGGACAAATTATTTTTGACCCTAGAGGTTTAATAAAAACATCAAGCTGTGAAACTTGTGATGATATCTGCTTTGAATGTTCTTCAAAAAGTGAGTGCTTATCTTGTAAAAAAGGATTTTATTTGTATACTGGATCATCATTGAAGTAAACTGGGTAATGCTTGCAAAAATCAGGATATTTAGAGTTAGTACTTTATGTTGATAGTGTTTCTGACTAATATTCAGAAGATCTTTTAACTGGAATGACTCTAGACGATCCGTTTTTATCTTTATAAAGTGCATTTGCCAAAGCCTATGAGTATGGTGCCCCTTTTGAAAGTGCGTTGATAAAAATCTTGCTAATAGGTGAGAGAGTTCATTATATGAATAGACACTATACAAATCAACTTCTTCCGAAGGCATATGACTAAAACTCATAATCAACAAAGATTATTATAGATTCTACTAATGGCTATTAAGTTCAAGTTTTTTACAGATTAAGAGATCAATTTAAATTCCTTGTCGGGGCTGGTCTAGAAATCAGAAACATTGCTTTTAATGCTTTTGATTCTATTTTTGATCCAAGATAAGGATTTGACCTCAATAAACTTGATAATTATTATTGTTTAACTGGTTAGAATTAAAAATGCTGTATGGTTTAATCAAATTAAGGATAAGGATCTGTATTTGGATAAGATATTTGCTATCAAAATATTCCTATGTAAGTTAAAAGATTTCTATAATTATGTTTTAGACAAACTGACTAATGCCATTTACCCATTGGTTCATCATTAATTTAGTTTGACATATCAAGTTAAACACTTTTAAAATCTCCTTAAATTCTGAAAATAAAAGTAATATTTTA